TTTAACGCTTTTTGAGGCTGTGACAGCATAAACAAGTATTTTGTTGCTTCGAGGGCACAAGCGACCTCTAGAATTAAGTTCATCAACAAACTGGAAGTAACCATTTTAGGATTGTTGAACCCATGCACGCCTTCGCAAGGTGAGATTTAATATTTCAAATCTAATATTTCCTCTCATTCACTTATATTCGAAGACGAAAACAATATCAAAAGCCTCTTTTCTCGAAACAGAGCAGTGAGTTTTTGCTTTTGAAACGTAAAGTACCCTATTACACATATTCATGGTGATAAAAGATACATATACACAGTTACCAAAGGTTTAACTCGTCTTAAAAACGTGTTATTTTGTTTCAGCTTTGGCGCTTTGAAGAAAAATTACAAGAGATAAGATAAAAACAATAAGCTTCGCTTTCACTTATCTTCTTTTTTCTTTTCTTGATTTTTTCTATTTTAATTTAGGTTTAAAAACAATCTATGGTTAATTAACACAATAGACGGTTTATTTGTCAGTTTCAAACTGAAGCCTAGCCAATTTATTTTTTTGTATCAAAAATCCACTAGAATGACTCAACGGATCGAAAGCAAAAAAAGGTATTTTCGCTCAGTACTTGTTAGGATAGATGATCGTGTAGTCCAAATAAGGACTGTCCTACCAGACGGACAAGAAGTTCAATTTTAAAGTTTAAATGATTATTCATGGAAGCCTGCGCCCAGTTATATAGTCGGTGAAACCTGGCAAATTAACAAAGTAAAGAATTGATCAGCTTATTTTTGTGAATCCTAGTTAGAAACACATTAATCGCACCAACATTGTCTTTCACAAAGTTAACTCGCTAATAAATTAGGCGAAAACTGAATTAATTTTGTTCAACTGCGTAATATTAATTTGAGTTTATCGTATATTAGCTAGTATATCGCTAAGTAAAGATATCTACGTAAAGTAGTGAGTTCGCTTGATAATCTCAAACAATAAATCGATTTAATCCTCTTTAATGAACTTGTCAGAATTAATCAATTTGCTACTTGGGTCACAAATATATAACACTCTTTAAAATAGGGTTTCTAAGTGATTCGAACTGACAACCCTAACTCGTTTGTCATAGAGGAATATGTGTCAAAGCCGTTATATCAAAAGACAAAATAAAAATCGTTGTTAGGTGAATGAGACAGAGCTGATTCTAAATGGTATTTTCCAGATCAGATCGGTTTTATTGATTGAAGATTCTAGAAGTTTTACCATCTACCTTTAATAGGTTTTGTGGTTCTAATTGCAAAAAGCACCATATGAAGAAAAACAGCAATTCTTGAGACGACAGGCTAAAACAAACGTTGTTACCTCAAAGTAAAGTCAAGGTTAATCCATGTTTTGGTGAAATAAAAAGATTGTCTTGCCTCACTGCGGTCCGTTGTGGTTAACCTTCTGCAAAATAATCGTATATAAAGTCAGATATTTAACTTGAGACGATCTATGCATCTGTGACTAAACTTAAAATATAGGTTACTTAGCATCCAAGTCAAATTTGCACCTTGATCTGCTAGGCCAACGCTTTTTAAATGGTTTTTTAGTTGAGAATTAAACAGTTTCTTTTTCCCATTTTAATATGAGTGCTCTAGGAGTAAGAAAGCTTCCGATGTGTCCCATTGTTAAGAATCACTGCTAAAAACAAATAACATTCAATTGTCTTTAAAGAGTTTTAAACCGCGTTATCTTGTTTCCTTTTGCTTTTTAAATTTTTGAAGAATGCTTTTCGAATCATATCCCAGACAATTAAATGTCCTTTTTGACCTATTCGCATAAATACTGACGTTTCAAACCAGTAACTTGTTTTTGTCGACTACAAATTTTGTTGCAAAATGGGAGCACAAGTCAGAGCTCATTTAATTTAAATCGATGTAAAAGCCCGTCTTTCGGTTTTCCGCGGTTTTCATTTTGTTTTCAAAAGCTCGTTTTGTTTAAAAAAAGTTTGGTTGGTGTTAAAGGGGCAAACTTTACTGATAATGGATTATTTTCTTATATTTATTCTTCGCTCTTATCAGGGTCAGGATTTTTAAATAGCGGCCGATGAAGAATGAGACATGTAGGAGAATGTACTCAAGACTACGCATTCATTTGCTCTGCTTGGTAGCTTTCTTTGTGGCCTGCTATCAACATCCTGTTTTAGCAGGTAAATTTTTTTTTTCATTATTTTTATTTTTCGCTTCTGTTGTTTCAGTTTGGCATCAAAATTTAAAAACATTTGCGTCACAGGAACGCAATAACTGCAGCTCATAAATCGACGGTAAAAATATACGAAGCACTATCTTGTCTTCTCCCAGAGTGACTCATAGGCTGTTGCACAGTACTCGATATAATAGATACCTTCAGATTCGAGGGCGAGATCTGACCGACGATGTAAACTGAATACAGAAAACGCCCCTCGCGTTTCTCTCGCGCCTAAAACTCCCTTTCCCTTCCCTTTCAAACGCCTGCCACGCAGGCTAAACATAAGGGTGATCCGAAAAAATGGAGGCGTGTCAGTGGGTAATCAGGGCAATTAAGGTGCCTTGGCGTTACCACGAGCTGATAAACTGCTAGCTGCTGCTGAAAGGTAGTTGTTAACGCTAGTAAAGGGAGCAGAAGAGTCCAAATTGCGTGTTTGTTTTTGTCAAAGGCCATCTTTTATTCCTTCTCTACTTGTTAACCACAAGGGCCGAGATTTTTGCAAGTAAACCCAACGAAAAGCTATTCCACCTTCTAGGATGTTCCTCCATCCATGTAAACAGCTCTCTTAGAAAAAATTGTGGCCGATCAAATTTCAAAAAAGCGTACCCGGCTTGTAAATTGACATGGTTTGTACTCTTTTGGAAAGAAAGAGTGCAAATCTTTATCCTCATTGCTTATGTGAATTTCGATACTTTCAGCGCAAAAAATCAAATTAGTTTTAAGACATTTGCATCATTTGAACAGCAATTTTTTAGTTTTTCACTATTAAGTAGTTTAATAATTTTTGAGTCAGTTTATTTTTCTCTTTTTTTCCTTTTTCATTTTTCTTCCTTTTATCTATTTACTAATTCCTTGTTTTTTCTAGCTTTAGTGCCAACCTACCTCCTATGCCTGAACATTATTTAGCTTTACTCAGCTCGATTAGCTTTTTAGTTATTCTGAGTATATGTTACCTTTTTTGTATTAATATATTATATTGTAAATTAAGTTAACTTTTATTTGGTAATAAAGCTTATGTTGTTGAGTCTAATGGGTTCACCTAGAAAAACTGATTTATATTGGGTATAACTTCGGCAAAAAGGATCGAAATGAATCTCATTTTTTATACACACAAGTATAGCTAATATATCCAGTATCGTGCCAGTAAGTCTCTCGTGATATGTCATGTGCAAATTTTTTTCTGAAAATCCTCAGTGATATTGTAAACGCCTTTAAAAAAGGGAAGTCAAGTAATAGCATTTTCATGAAAATTGAAATGCTGAGATATGTTTTGATCATTAGTGAGTTTACGCAACAGGAAGACGGAAAGAAGAGGACGGCAAAACGCTTGTGCCTGACAAACGCGGTGACAGTCCTATTCAGTGATCTTCACTTAAGTTAATGTTTTCCGGTCTTTTACAAAGACTGTTTAAAGGAGTGTGTATAGCCTGCGAACGGCAGACGTTTCTCCTCGCTGATCGCCGCTGAGGAACGTTTCGCGAGAAGGAACCTCCTCGCGAAACGTCCCTTAGCGGCGATGAGCGAGGAGAAACGTCTGTCGTTCGCAGGCTAGAGGGTGAAGTTCGGAGGAAAAGTTTTTCAAATAAAATTATTGTTACGCTTGTCACACAAGGTTTGCCTTCTTGTTTCCTTTTCCGTCCAGTTGCGTGAGCTCACTATTAGCTGTCCTAGTCTTAAATTGTTCAAAACTTGTCACATTGCATAATTACATAATACAATTCATAATTGTTCAAAACTTGACTACATTCATATATATTCATATATTCAAAACTTGAGTACATTCATATAACCTCTCTCCTCTACGAAAAACAACATTTATTAAACCATCCAAATTAAACATTAATTCGCCACCAATTCACTAATTTCTTTTTCAAATTTAAACTTTTGACCACGTGGCATGTCACGTGAACATACCGCAGTTATAAGTGGAGAAACAAGAAGGCCTCACGATAAGCATTTGGGGAAAATTTCATCTTGTTCTAGGTATTCCAGTGACAGATATCTCCAATCAGTAATATTTTGCGAACACACTTTTAACACTGGCCTTAAAACTTCTTGAGAAAGTTTTTTTTCTTTTTAATTGCCATTATTTGCCCTCAGCAGTATTTAAAATAGCACTAATTCAAAGAGGACAGACCAGATATTGTTGTTGCTCGAAATATCTAAAAGTCGCAAGTGTTCATCAGTAGGCTGCCTAAGATGTGTGCAATTCCACAATTGGTTTCGGCTCCATCAAACCCTATACCATTATTGTAGGACATTTTAGTGGGGCCGAGCAAATCCCTGAAACAAATAATTAAAATAATTTACAGGATTAAGAATCTCAACTGGCCGAAGGCAAACCAGTAAGCTATTTGCAAGTGTGGTGAAGGATTTGAATTTGGGTTTACCGAGAACAAATCCCGCTAGCGGCGGTCAGGGAGGAACTTGAACTTGAACTCGGGACCTTCGAATTAGTGCAATATTCCAGCGCTCTTATAACCGCTCGGCCTCGTTGCCTCCCATCTAAAAGCCTTGATATAGTTTGGTATTGCTGCCGTTTTAGTTGCTTTAGATTTTCAAATAAGCAAGCAAAAGGAACCTTAAGTCGTTATGGAAATGAATTTAGTTATGATCTAATGGATTTTTAATGCTTAAGAAACAATCAGTTGGCTGGCATGAGCACTTTGCCATATTTTTATTTGCGATTATAAAAAAATTTCCTTTGCAGAGTGACCTTGTTCTTTTAACTTGTCTGAATTGATTTTAAGGCTTATGAGAAATTTTCCTTTTAGTGCTGCTTGAATTTGAAATGACTTTGTTATTTCATCATAGATATTTCTACGGATAATCGCGAGACAGATGAGTTTCGTCTTCTGAGAGACCTGTTTAATCACTACGATAAAGAAGCCAGGCCAGTTTACAACGTTTCCGATGTTGTGAATGTTGAATTTAGTTTGAGTTTAATACAAATAATCTCAGTGGTAAGTTGTTCCTTAAAAAAGCCTTTCCAAGCATTCGTACCCTAAGGTTGTCTTGAATTGAAGCATGGTTAATTAGAGCTAAAGGTTTAGGGTGAGGGGAAAGAAGTTACTTCTCCACTTGCAAAAATTATCAGATTCAAGATCATATTAAAAGCGATAGCCAAAAATAGTAATAGTTATGGAATATTAAGGGAACCTGGCGACTATACTGAAAAAACATGACCAAATTAATGGTCAAAAGAGTGGCCATGTCAGTGATAACAGATGAGGAAAGAATTAAAGTAAGCGGCTGTCGGTGAAGGACATTCGGGTCTCTTCAAGGTGATTCAAATAGATGCAAGTGGAGTTGATCACTTAGAAACCAGCAAATTCAATTTGCAAGGTTTCTAAATTTAATGTCAACAAGAGCTTTGTGCTCACGCACTTGACCTCATTTTGAAAGCGAGGGTTTTTGGCACTCGGAAATAGCCTATTACGCTGAGACTGAAAAAGCTAACCGCAGATCATCGATAGCTCGCTCATACTAGTGGCTAGTTTTATAGACTCTAATTCAATTTTTCTGTATTTTTTGTTCCCAGAACAGTAAGTCACAGCTTTTGACTCTTAACGTCTGGATTCGCCAGGTAAGCCTGATGCCGTCCACTGTCAAGGGCTAATGCCCCTGAAACAGGCCCTGATACAGCTTTGCGTTTATATGGACCAAGTACGGTCGAGTCCTTAAAAAAGCGAATAAGGAACAAGACTAAGGTCCTGTCTTCTTCCCGGCCTGGTCCATGAAGAACTTAAAATTATCATATGACCAAAAAATTATTTCTCGGGGGACCAAATCGGGTAATCCCGAATGGGGAAAGTAGGCCCATCTTGAATATACTACTTGGGTGGACAATAATCACTCACGGTTCACTTCTGCGTAGTCAGCCATTACCAGTACTATTTTAAGTTTAAATTTACAGACTGACAAGGTTTCCCAGACGGTTTGAGGCGTTATTCTCAATGATTATATCAGTATTTTGATGATAGAGATTTCCTAACTAAAACTAAATGTTTAGTTAAACCTAACACGAGCGGTCTATAAAATCGGGCCTGATTGTACTTAGTGCGTTCGCTTTAACATTTGGGTCTTGGCATACATTTCCAAATGGCGATAGATCAGGGTCCAAATGGCGATAGAAAAAATTCTTTTTCATTTGAACTTATACCCAGGTATACTTTATACCTTTCAAAGTTTATACCGAATACCATTTAAGCTGAACGTACCGTATATTTAAAAGCAACCGAGAGAAAACCCTGATCTACCCTGATAGATTCTTTTGTTTGAACTTGATGTAAAAATAGTCACTGAAAATTGATGTTAATTTTATTTATGCACTCCACAGAAATGGAAGAATCCAATTTTGGGGTGGAACAAAACGCGTTACGGAGAAATTAAATCAGTGAATGTGGAACCTACTAAAGTTTGGATTCCTGATGTCATACTCTACAACAAGTGAGTGTTTATCTGTAATGTGTACTCACTTTAATTTGCTCATATTTGCCTGTATGGCGAGGGCTTTATCGATTTGGAAGCGGCTGCAAAAAATATGAAACAAACCAATTACGCGCTGATTACACATCTCTTATTTCTGTACTGTGCCATTAAGTTGAAGAGATTTTTTAAAAATTTGACCCTATCTCCTCTCGTAGCTCATCCAGTATCGTAACTGTTTCTTAGTGTTTTGTACTCGAGCAGTGCTTCTTCAGTAAGGAACTAACACACCTTTTGCACTATTCTGGGCTCAGTTTAAGAAGTCTCTTGCTAGTGTAATTTGAAGTGTAACCATTAAAAACAATAGGTACACTTGTAAATTGCACTTGTAAAAGTTTTATTGATAGGGAAAGTCAGCACGAATCACATCCCCCCAACCCTTCGTCGCGAGAGGTCGTACGTTCTCCTTTCTGACAATAATACTTGGAAAAACATTTTAAAAAGCTTTTTATCTATTTTACTAATTATGTTTTTTTGTTTGTTTACTACAGTGCGGATGATAGTTATGGCGGTGGACTCGAGAAATACAAGACATCGGTCGTTTTGCACTCTAACGGGTACAACGAATGGAATGCACCAGCCTCCTTTACAAGCACCTGTAAGATCAATGTAGCAAATTTTCCATTCGATAAGCAAAACTGCTCGTTAAAGTTCGGCTCATGGACTTTCCAAGGTGACCGCTTAACAATGACATCGTCGGAGACATCAGCAGATCTCAACATGTACATGCAAAATGGCGAGTGGAATCTTCTTGCAATGCCGTCCAAATTAAACAAGGTGTATTATAACTGCTGCCCACATCCATATTTCGACGTTACGTTGGACTTGATTATCCAGCGCAAGCCATTATATTACGTATTTAATTTGATCCTTCCGTGCGCACTGATTTCCACACTGACGCTTATACTATTTTTTCTTCCGCCGGAATCTGGAGAAAAAGTTGGTTTGGGGATTACTGTTCTGTTGGCCATGACTGTTTTTCTGTTGTTAGTTGCTGAAACACTTCCAGCAACTTCAGATGACGTCCCATTGTTGGGTCAATATTTTATTGCAACCATGTTTGTTACCGCAATGTCACTAGTCAGCACTTGCACTATATTAAACTTTTACCACCGAAGTCCCTCGACTTCTCCAATGCCTCGTTGGGTCCGTGTGATCATCCTTGGCTACATGGCAAAGGTGTTGTGTTTCAAAATGGAAACAGAGGAAGAAATTAAAATGACTCCTAAGATCAGAAGAAGGAGAATAGAATTCAATGTGGATGGTGACATAGGACTCGATGACAACGATTACATGACTCTTCCCGAGAGCCCACGAAAATTTCGCGACGACATGTCGATTATTTCACAAAGCGGCCGAAGTACTCCGAGCAGACGAAGCTTTCGCAGCATGAGTATCGTAGGTGGTCAAAGTTCGTTCACTGAGCGGCTCCTTGAGGATATCAATACCCTAGCAGAGGATGTGCGTGCAAAACAAGAAGATGAAAGGCAGAGGGAGGAATGGCGGATTGCCGCGCTTATTTTGGATCGAATGTTTTTCTGGCTGTTCTTGAGCCTCACAGTTTTAACAACTTTTTTAATATTCTACAGAGATTCCGTCATGCAGTAAACAAAACTAAGGGAATTTTTATTCGACAGAAAGTTAATTTTGGAAAGTCCCGCCGGTGAAAAGGCTATCTCGATGAGCCTGTTAAGCGCGGAAAATTCTTCCATGATGCAAGGACAACCCCATTATACCACTGATATGGAATATACTGCGCGTGATCTTAGGCGTGAAAGTAGCATGATTGCTTGACGTTTGAACAGTCTTGCTAGTACTGAACTGAGAAATATGTTTTTACTTAGAGTGCTTAAAATTCATGATTAAGAAGAACGCCATATCTGGCTCTCAAACTAATTTCAGTTGTAAGCGTGGAAGACTAATGGTGTCTTTTGCTATCTGAAACTAAGCACATGATTTTTGTAATTATTGAGACACTGTAGATCTCATAATATTATTAACAGGACACTGGCCAAGAACAGCTGACTCTAGTTTGACAAGATTTTTGAAAAAGCCATACATCAACAGAGACCAAATTGGCACTTAACTAGCAGTACTACTTCACAGAAATCTGCAATTGGGTAACCTTTATTAACTGCAGGCGTTTACTGGCGGGGTGGGGAGAAGGGGGGGTTAGTTGGGCAGGACTACAAACTCAGTCACTCGGTTTGTACCGTCATTGTCTCTAAAAGGCCCCCGTGGTGTTGGCGGACAGGGCAAAACCCCTGGGGTACTCCATATAAAGTCTTATACACGGGGAAGTTCCGCCCAAAATTGGTTCCTATTTCGGGCTTCAGGTATGTAATATGGTAGGGATATCACGAGCTGAAGAATTCAAGTGTGAGGAAATCTGTTATTTAAACTCTTCAAGGAATTTTGAACTGAGGCACCGTATGGCTTTATCCTCAGCCGTATTTTCGTTCATTAACCTCATCCCAAGGGTGTAGAAAAGTGACGTAGTGTTCTTAAGTAGGTTTTTTAAAAGCTTCGGGGGTCGGACACCGGGACCTTATAAAACTTTGTTGAGTAGCTCTCCTAAGGCAAAGCGAAGCTTAAAAATGCAATTTCTTAGGCCTCGCTTCGATTAGCTTCGTATTTCCGTCGCATAGAGCGAAGCAATGACCGGAAATACGTCTGCTTTCGCAGGCTAAATGTATACCCCATTGCTGGTGGTTATTTGGTTATCTCCAAAATGTCTTTGTGCTTTCATAAAATCAAAGTTAACAACTACACACCTTAAATCTGAGTGCCCTTTCGTTCGTAGGCAATAGGCCCAAAGGAACATATTATTTGGACACTTATAAAGAATGAATAACTAATGCTAGTGTTGAAAATCAACAGCATCTATTACACCAATTTGTAAATAGATCAATGTAGAAAAAAAATTCAACTCATTAAGTGTGGGGGTCTCTTAAGATAGCACAGAGATTATTTGTCTCCTTCGAGTTATCTTTAGTTTAGTATTTCCGACTGGCACCTCCCTCATGCCAAAGTTTGTTTCATAGTTTTGTCTTACTTGTTATAAATGTCTGCATGCCAGTTTGTTTTATTGAAAATAAACCTTTTCCCCAGAATACAGAATGGCAAAGAATGAGGCTTTTATCATTTTTGTTGGTATGACACTACTCTTTATTTAGCTGATTTTCAGACTATGAAATGATTTTAATCTATGGTAAAATCAAGACGAGCGCCTCCTGTGCAACTGGAAATGTTGAAATTAGACACAAGAAGAATACAAAATTAACCATCGCGCTCTTGCTAGTCTCTGTTGCAATTGACTTTCTTCAAACAAACAAATCAGAAAACGTGTAAAGCAACACACATACTAATGATGTTGGGGCCTGTCCACAGACTTTTCACGAATATTGCGAGAAAAAAATATCTATTATTTTATAGAAAAATAGAGGGTCTGTAAACAGGCTAACCATATATGGTATTTAAACATATGGAGCTGCGTTAACAACTGATATGTACTTGTCATCAAACAAACACTAAATTGCATAAAGAGACGAAGTGATGAACCCTCTTAACAATTTGATGAACTCAAATTAGGGCTTTTCGCCCGTACCCGAACACACGGATGAAGAACTGAGATCTGACTGACTTTGATCTATAATGACTACCTTCACCAAAGCTCACCGATTTGGCAAATCGAGATTGATCTGTATTCTTACCGCAGGGATTTAAAAATAAAGGAAAAAATTATTTAGTTGTGAGCCAGGGTGTACAGCTGCAGTCCGAAACAAATAGATAAAACCAGCACCTACCCTCGTTTTAATTCCTTCGGGCACCGAAACGATGGCTGGGATGCCTGTGATCAACTAGTGTCCAGTTCCTCACGGACAAAAGACAATATGGCGGATTTCTTGCATCAGACATACAATATTTTTTCTTCCTTCGCAACTTATCCTTTTCAGCTGTTACCACATTGTTTTCCTCCCACGTTTAAACACTTTGCTGTTCAAATCATTCCGTATGGTTTTCTTGGTAGTATTTGTTATATACTGGATGTTATTTTCCTTGCGATTCAACATCGCATACTCCGAGCACTTGTGGATAACATGGCTCACGGAGTTATCGCTTTTGTAAGCTGGTGTGTTGTCAGCGAAGTTTTAACTAGAAAGGATTTGGCGGATGGAGTCCTAAGTGCTTTTATTGCTTGTGCCTTAGACGTTGATCATTTTATTGCTGCCAGATCGTTTAATTTGCAGGTAAGTGTATAAAAGCGGTGTAAGATATTATTTTTACTGAGTAAAGACATAGTTTACGACTTTCATTCGCCCCGTGTAAGGCAATTCAAGAAAGTATAGGATTCTTTATTTTACGCTGTGGATTCCAGATTCCCGGTACTGGATCCTGGATCCTGGCTTCTGGCTTCCTTGATTTCAAAGCCCAGGATTGCGGATTCTACAATTAAAAATGTGCAGATTTCGGATTCCAGAAACAAAATATACAGGATTCCGGAATTAGGATAACCTTAGAAGGGTGTCATTTCGTAGTGGACTTTATCAGCCAGGCTGGTCTGGTTAACCAGACTAGCTCAAGCAAAGAACTCGAATCTGTTGAGGCCCTGTTTGGGTTCAATTCCGACAAGTGTCATGGCCTTGAAACAGCAATATTGGACCACAGGTAGTCCATCCGAACTGTTCGAGGCATCGTGACGTCACGCACGACATGTAATCCCATACATTTTCTGTATTTCGTACCTTCCACACTTGGCTTGATTCAAGTTTTGAATTTTGATCCCAAATGTTGATGTAATGTAATTATCTTTATTCATTTTTCTTACATTATATCAACATTTGGGATCAAAAGAGGCAACATCCTGTGTTTTATGAAGCATTTCTATGGATCACTTGAATCAAGCCGAGGGCGGGCATTATGAAATACAGTAAATGTATGGAATCACGTCACGCATAACATCACGATGCCTCAAACGGTTTGGATAGTCCACCTGTGATAAGACAGATGAATTCATGAGAAATGACATAATTTTGGTTCAAAACTGCAAAAGCATTGAGGAAAATCTCAAATACAATAGTAAAGTACTGACAGGGACATGGCCTCCTCTTCAATATGCAAAACTACTGCTTTTGAAATTCCCATAGAGAGCCTCTCTACTTAGTACTTGCTTATTGACTGTCCTCTAGGAAAACAGGGTGTTCAGTAGCACCGGTGTTTTGACATATCTACCAACTCAAAAATTAAAAAGAGGTACACAATCTCAGATATTGTTTGCATCTAAAGTTCGTTTGTGAGTTTTGTTCATCCTAAGGAGTTAAGGTGTGTTCCTTTGAGATGATCCAGATTAGAATCAATGATCCAAGATCACTCTGTTCATGGTACATAAAATGAACCAATGAATCCTTTCCCAGGGTGGATTTGTTGGCTCCTTTGATGTGCAATGATCCGAGTGATCTTGGATCACCCGTCCTGATCTGGATCATCCTGATGGAATGCAATGTTAGATTGTTGCGGCTCCTCACATGACATATCCTTGTCCAATCAGAGAATGCCCTTGAGTTGGGACATTCCCAACAGTGCACATTTGAGTTTATTACTGTTGGGAATAATCATCAGTTGATCATCACAAAACTCTGGGATACATTGAGAAATTGATAGAAATACTCCTGATTCTCTTAATTTGACTCAGATGTTCCCAGACTATTGGCAATACTTATGATTTCGAGTTTTCATTAATTGGCTGGGACAGTAGGGAAACAGTAAAATCCCTGATCATCTAGGATTTTCCTGGTGTAGGATTCTTACATGTATACTTACACTGTTTTCAAGTAGTTATCAGGTCACCTAAAGGGTGATCATGAGGTTATCCCTATATTAAGATCTCTCCTTACAAATAAGCATATAACCCACCCAGCCAAGGAAAGGTTGGCCATGCCATTGGGGTCTACGTCCCCTACTCTTTTTGAATAGTGGTGTGGGTTCTTTTATGTTCCACCAGAACCTAAAGTGATTTGTCCTTATCTGAAAAGACTAGAAAGTCTAGCCATTTTTGCAGATGTCATTACAATATTAGAAATACAGCTCTTTTTTCTCAGTTATTTTAAGACCATTAGTGTTGGTCTGGCCGTGGTTTGGACCTGTAACCTCCTGTTCATTAGTCTTGCACTCTCCCAACTGAGCTAACCTGAGAGAAAACTGACACAAAGTAAAATATTTTATCTTTCATGTTTTTCCTATCCGATCAGTGAGTCATATGTGAATTAGTTTACCCATATAATTGCATGGTGTCTCATGGATTGGGTCTAACACATTTGAAATTACTGCACAGATTGGGAAGCTTCAGAGAAAAAATACTGTGATTTAAGACGATGACATTTTTATACTCTTAGTTCATTTTATAGTTTTACATTTATACACAAGATTTCCATCTGAGTGGTTTGTATGAATGGCAAGGACCCCTGGAGACATGTTTTGCATATTAGTTAATTGATATTCACTATCATTTCTTTCTGCACACTGATAATCAGCCTACATTAACTCTTGTTTCCCTTAGAATGCTCTCCATCTCAAGAACAGGCCATTTCTTCATTCAACAACGATTGTTTTTATTTTGGTCCCCATACTTCAAGTCTGGATTGCCCAGAATGTTTCTTCTCTCCGTTCTCTCCCGTACGTGTTTGCTGTATCTGTTATTTCACACCACTTGCGTGATGGACATAGGCGTGGTTTATGGTTTTGGCCATTTGGGAGCACTCCACCCCTTCCATACTGGGTATATATTACTTGTACTTTAGTAACACCTTACTTTGTTAAAGAAATAAAAAGGTCCATTGCTAAGTTCAATGTCATTTCAATATCAAGACCAACGGGTACTCTCATGGATGTGTGAGGAACACACATCAGATATTTTTAACAGGGCAAGGTCACATAAGTTATAAAAAAGCTCAGAGAAAAACTTGTATTTGCAACAATGGAAAAGATAAATAAAGTTTCCAATTATGTCAAGAAAAACTCTGTACAGTACGTATATGCACCTGCACCTACCCAGTAGTCATGGTGATCGTTGGGGCACCACCGACCTAGCAACCCTTTCCCTCTATTTGTTTTTTTTTTTTTCAGATTCTCTTAGCGCGTCGCAAACCTTCAACCCTGTCCACTTAGAGATGTTATTCTCCCAATGGTTTTTTATCGGCCTCTTCTTCTCCCTCCTTGCACTGCTCCCTGTAAAGTTGTCTTGGCAGGCACTGCTGATCTCGATACATACCCCAACCACTTTAACTTGTGTTTCTTTACCGTGGTTAAGTTGTCGTCATAGGGCCCGATGGCTTGCCCGATTCTGTCTGCATTGTTAGTGATGCAGTCAATTTCAAGTGTATTTTTGGCAGTAGATGAAGAGAAGGAAAAATATTACAAGTTAGGTAAGGTAGAAAGCTCTGCTATCTACTTCAAATCACCCAAAATAAGCTTTGTTGGTTTCAAAATTCAAATGCAATCTACTTTTTGGTTTTGAAGGAGCCATTTATTACTCATATCTTAAACTAAAAATAGTTCAGAGTGACCTTCCACAACACACTCCTTTACTAAACGAGGCTTGGTTTAGTGGAGAGAAGGTGGCCATTGGTCCTGCGTCTTTGTGGTCTATTAATGAAATGAAATCAAAAATCCATTTATGTCGAGAATAATAACGATCACTCCGTAATAAAGGTGACTTAAAGATTGTCATTCTAGGGGGAAAAAAAAGCATGTCCCCTTTTCAAGACAGGCTAAAATAGGCAGGGTTTCAACGCACCAACATCCACCGGTGAAGAACAACTAGTCACAACCTTATAATGTTAACCGTTTGATATTTATAAAAAGGGCGGTTAGTTACATAGCCAAAATGGCCTGTTCCATGCGTTTAGATAGTGGGGCAATTTTTCGCCCGCTCCCCACCATCTGAACGCCTGGAACAAGCTATAGCCAAAACAGAGTACACGCTTTATGAGGTGCAAAGAAGACCATCGCAGCTAAAGACGCAACTCATGCAGTTACGAAAAGAAAGCCCGAAAATGTCCTGGCTTGCCGGGATTCAAACCGTGACCTACGCGATACCGGTGCAGTGCTCTAACCAACTGAGCTAGCGGGCCAACCGGAGCTGGTCATTGGTTCTGCTCCCGAGGATGAATTGTACCCATGAAATCGTTGGTAAATACGGAGGAAATTTGCTCCCGGAGCGTGCTCCTGGAGCATGCTCCGGGAGCAAAATCCCTCGTGCATGCTCGGCAATCGGCAATGATCCTCTGGAAATTCATTTCTTCATTCCCCATTTCAAATAAACGAAATTCGAAAGCTGAAAAAAGTATCACTTTCGGGGGGGAGCTTGCCTGTATGGGTCATTATAGGACGTATCCCGCCGGGCACGTGAAACATTGTCAGCAATACCCTAATAAATCTCGGAGCTCGATACGCGGTGTATGACATTTGCAGTCTGCAGTCTGCGGTCTGCACTCTGCAAATGTCATACACCGTTTAATACGTCCGTAAAAGCGAATTATTCCAATGTTCACGTCGTTTAATAGCTCAAACCTGGGAAAACCGCCGTAGAAAGAAAAAAGTCCAATATCAGCCATGTAAAACAAGCTTACTTTATTAAGTCATTATATTTAATTTCGATTCCCTAAAATCTACAAAATAAAAAATAATGACCACCATATAAGAAGCTTTTTAATAACTGTCTCTTTCGCATATTGAATCTAAGTTGTCTGGCTTGCTCGTGCGTTGCAAATGCGTATAAAAATATATAATTGCCTACAGTATAAACCAAGCAGTTGTGATATCTATAAAATAAGTCTCGCCCACAGGGTAGATGAATCGATTCACAACACTTCTACATATGCTGTCTTCGTGTGAAACACGTCACAAGTTTTATTAATTCGCCTGCGTGGCAGACGTTTGAAAGGGTAGGGAAAGGGAGTTTTAGGCGCAAACGCCTGCCACGCAGGCTATATAGTAATAAGTGTCAGTATCAAAATGAGCCATTTCCGCAACCACTGCAGCGCGAAAAAGCTTTCATTTAAAACTAGTTGAAGGTAGAGAATGATACAGAAGACAAAGAGGGGGGAAAATATGTAAAACTACATCAATGGAATCTTAAAAACAAAAGCATAACATCGATTCCAAAACAACAGCAACTCTAAATTATGTATTTTTTTTTTGTTGATTAGGCATTGTACTACATTTCGCGATTTTAATTTTAGCCCAATTTCATTTCAGCGAGGTTTATGTGGTCCCCCTTTTTTTTAATAATAGCGAATATCGCGAAAATTAGCTCTTGTGAAAATAAGTAATAAGTAATCCCGAGCCAAATGCCCCAATATTGACATACAACGATGACCATGTTAACACACTCTCACTTTGTGCTCCATTTTCCACTAGTAACCACTAGTTTTATCTCCTTCACCTTTATTTTTCCCCCGTCCCGCCCAAACGACGTTGTGATTTGTTTCCTAGGGTCTATAAATGCAATCAAGCAACATTGCATGGGGGAAGGAGATGTTTGGAATATCAATGCCTCAACTCTCCTTACGAACACATTTTTCCCCAGGCTTTATTTTAATTTTCTTTTTAACTTTTTATAAGGCAAACACTCCTGAGAAAAGGCTCTTACTCCCAATGGTGTCTATCTTAGAGCTGACTCGTCTACAGTCATCTCTTTATGTGTCTCCTAATTTAATATTAACGAGGGAGGAGCGTGGAAGCTACACGCGGGGGAAGATAGTTTCCTTCGCCGAGATACCGCGACCGTTCCGTGACCGCTTACAAATGATAAGAGATGACCGGGGAAAAGTCAGATCTTAAAAGAGTTGGCTGTTTATCATGAATTAATGTGTCGACCCAGCCTTCTCCTCAGGCGCTTCGTTTTTCGCGTCGTAGAGGCGAGCGCGAAACACGAGTGACTGGTGATGAACCGCAAGGGACCATGGGAAGGGTAAAGACGGCCGGCGAAACGACGTCCCGCCCGTTGTCTCCTTCCCGCCTTCCTTCGCGCGCACATTTTCATCGAGAGAGAGACGTCTGAGTGCGAGGCAGGTGTCGACCATTCTATTTGTTTCCCACTGTAGTTGCAGAAGCGAAAGGGGCGCACACCTGACTCGAAGATTTCCTTCTTCAGGAGATTGCTCACCATTACATGGAAAACTAACAAAACTAATAAAAATACATCCCTTCGAGATTAAAGCTTTCATACAGGTGAATTTCTCGTTCATACTGGCGAGAAGAAATGACAAGTACGAAAAGACTCACAGGGTCAGGTTGCGTCATCTGCTATTCATAAAAAATAAACTATCTGTAAAAAAGTTTCAGTTCTAGACTAGCGATATCAAGCTTCACGGCTTGCATTCAAATTCTGGCAAATGGTGTGTCAGTAGAGTTTCCGGGAACCGAAAAACATTTTCCTTGTGTCTGGAAATTCATCACTCTTTTTTTAACACATTACTAGTCCATATTGCTAGTCTTGTAAAAAGGTTAATTAAACCGGTTGTGACAACTTGACAGAAGGATCTCTTGAACCATAACCAAATCTTGAAGGCGGTCTCCCGTCCGGTAAAAGGTGATCTGTTTCGTCACTCGTGCTAGCGATGCTGCTGACGCTTACCTGGGAAGTGAGCCTACGATGTTCCGTATTATGACGTCTCTTTCGAGGTTTGGAACGCCCTCTGCGGATAGATTCTAATTCTCGCTCATCAGGGGGAGGGGGCAGATTCTCGTTATTAAATGCCCAGGCTCTTTGAAGAGGTCCACGCTTCCACGGAGCACGCGCGACAACGTGGCAAAACGTCACAGCTCTGTGCCAGAGAAGAGTCAGGAACTGAATTACCACAATTAAGCCGTATATTGCGAGAAAACAGAGACCTAGCACGTTGGTATCTAGAACTGTTAAATGTTCTTGTCGGATAAGTGCCTCAAGGAGTATCATCCAGATGACGTTGGCTATGGCGAACACAACTAGCACCATATCACGGAGATCTTCCAGTTTCTCCTTCAGTTCTTCCACTGCACCAAATATGGCTGACTCCGGAACAAGGCAGGCTTGCCGCAAACCTGAAAGGACGCATTAATAAATAAAAAAAACTTCACCTCTTCGTAAAAAACTTCAAGAGGAGACAACCATAACAAAATTATCACATTTACTCGACTTAGTGTCATTTCATAGCTAAGGGAATGAAGCTACTCACTCCTGAAGTTCAAATTTCCTTAGTTAGCACCCTATTGTAAGATTGATATTTCCATGGATTCAGGAAAAAGGAGAGTCGGTTAAAACAAACCAGTTTTTTAAACTGATTGTAATGAACAGCGTGGTTACCTTCCCAGAATTGATATTCCATTCCATTGTCGAGATTATCCACTCTGAGATCCAGTACATTCAGTTTGTTTGTCTCTTCTCGTGTGCGGCGAATTCTTCTCTGAGCTAACAAGGATATGCCATAAAATTAGCGCCACGAAAGTCAAAGTGCCGCCGCTGGTTTTAAGATTTCGAGCACCTCCCAAACACCCTCCCCCACCCCTACAACAAGGCCATTTTCTAGTTTCAAAAACCCTCGCTTGAAAATGAGGTAAAGTCCAAAGCCTCTCATATGACAGTGAGAAAAAAAGTATCATCTTATCAACGCCTGCCCTAGGCTCAGTCTCGAGCCGTGGGTGTCTCGCGCGATGCACCCAAGGTCGGGTGGGGAGTACTGCGGGCGCATCGAGACACCCATGCTCCGCAGATGAATAGAATGGAATAGCAGAGTAGAATAGAATAATCTTTATTATGCTTTTGTAGATGTGCGTGGTTGATATTATAGTCTAGTAGAGGAACATACCAATAGAAGATTAATTAAATTTAATTAAAATAATGTGCAAGCTAGA